CCTGATTGAAGGAAGAGAACTGATATTGTTATGCAAGATCATATGCGAGAAATAATAGAGTACAATTTACTCGACTACATAAAAACTGATGAAAACACGGAAAAAAGCTAGCTCGTGGACCACTTTGTTAAGGTACAAATTGGCAAGAGCCACCATCGATCAACCCCCCGCTCCGATAAAACCCTCACCTGACTTCATGAGGTACATATGAAGTCCGTGACAAGCCCTGAACCAGTAGCGTAGTCAATAAATGGATATGCCATTAAGAAATCAGATGGCCATGTTTTTGATGGTGAGACAAAAGGTATCTTTGTAATTACAGATGATGAGATTAATCTTGAAATTTCTCCATAAAAGAATATGCTTTTTTATAATATGTCATCCTTGCATTTTTATTATTCTGATTTCAGTTATACAATGATTTTCCATGATCTCGAACTGAGTTATCATCGTCTATGTGTTTTCAAGGTCAAGATTCAAGAAAGGCATTTTCCATCATCGTGAACTAAGTTATCATCGTTTATATGATTTTTAAGTTCGAGATTCAAGAAAAGCATTTTCCATGTGAACTAAGTTATCATCGTTTATGTGTTTTCGAGGTCAACATTCAAGAAACGCTTTCTAAGAAAATTATACACAAATTAATCCTTATCAATTCTTACTTAAAATATATTAATTAGTTGTGGAATCATGTGATTAAGCCGCCTGATCAGATGAACTTGACAACAAATTAATGGCTGCTAATCCCACTTTAGGTACAACCCCACTATGCAGAAATTACTTTAAAAAAATTTCATTCATATATATTTAATTACAAGTTATTCCACAAAAATTTGCGTGTTAAATACTTTATTTTCCGCAGCATAGTTGCTAGCATGTGTTGTTGGAGATGAAAGGGTAAAACAACAAATTCCCTTAGGTCATTATTGTCTGCACGGCTCGAGTTCCAATATGAGTTTTGATTATATCAAAGTACTTGTTTGGTAGGTAGTGCTTAAAATTTGTAGATGTTATGAAATGTGTGAACGATACGTGGAAAGCAAATTGTTATGGCCAGCTTAGCCCCTATTATTTTGCATTTTTTATGGTTCAAAATTTTTGGAATAGTGATTGATGGGAGTGTGTGGTGGAAAAGTAATGAAAAGTTTTAGATTTGTGTGTAATATTATTTTATTTATGAATGTGTGATTGTAATGAAGAGAAAAAAAAATTTAATGTAATGCTATGTAATTTAATGGGGGCCAAACACGGGCTAAATAATAAATTAAGCTTTGCCAAGCAATTATTCATTCAGACCTTATCTTCTTCTTTCTGATCTATTGGACAGGAGGCTAGCTAGAAAATGGAACCAAACCCTTGATGGGTATTGTATATTAAGAAATTACATTTAATAATGCTAATATTAATCACACCAAACTTAGCTAAATGAGGACAACACATGGGTTTCAAGATGAAATTTATATATCTTGACAACCTGATTTTTAAAATCCCAGTGGATAGTGAAGGCTTGCAAGTTTTCGACATGCTTTTTAATGTGATTTTTCTACGAAAAACATGAAACGTGCAAGATGTGAACTCATGACCTTCAATTTGAGCGTACTTTGACATATATCAAGTACATGGAACGAAATATCAGTTATTGAGATGGTTAACGAGGTATAAAAACTTTGCTTCCATTCATTTAATTAATTTTTATGTATGTATGTAATCTATAATTAAAACAAATGAATTTGAATTACACGCAAGGACATGTACATCGTGACATTGGAAAAATGGACATTGTTTGAGAAATAATTAACATCTTGTTTGATAAAACTTTAACAAAATTTTATCAACTTTTTAACTGATCAAAATTAAATGGATGTTTGGTGGGGATTAAAATTAGATTTTTAGTAGATTGTAATAGAAGTTGTTGAAATGTGCGGTTGAAATGTTGTGAGATCCATGAACTATGTTTTGACTTTGACTTGGATTAAAATTAAATTTTAATTCGAACCAAACATAAGCTAAATCTTAATCGCACATTTTATGGAATTCACAATTTTATTAACTTTTCAAGCACCTCTGCTAAAATTTTTATCTGAAACTTCGTCATACATGCCCTAAATTGTATTGTTGAAATCCAAGATTCGTGGTCTCACAATGGGGACTTGCAGGCTTGAAGTTAAAATAGCATAAATTGCATGGTCAAGAATGACA